TTGAGTCGCACTTGAATGTGATTGTGGGCAATGTCTGCCTGTATGGCGCCACCGAGGGCACAGCCTTCTTCCGTGGCATTGCCGCCGAGCGTTTCTGTGTGCGCAATTCGGGCGTCACCGCTGTCGTCGAGGGTGTGGGCGATCATGGCTGCGAGTACATGACGGGTGGACTTGTGGTCATCCTCGGCCTCACTGGACGCAACTTTGCCGCGGGCATGTCGGGCGGCATTGCCTATGTCTATGATATTGATGGCTCCTTCAAGCCCAAAGTGAATCCGGAGAGTGTTGAGCTGCTGCCGCTAGAGCTAGCGGAGGATGTGCAAATTGTCAAGAAACTGCTGGCGGATTTCATTGAGAAAACCGGTTCCAAGGTGGCCAAGGAGTTGCTGGACAACTGGGCCACATCGCAGGCAAAGTTCGTCAAAGTCTTCCCCTACGAGTATCAAAAGGCACTGCAGGACATGGCCGAGCAGCAGGCGGCGGAGCAACCGTTGAAGACCGCCGTAGCAGCCATCGAGAATGGCAATGGCAAGCATGAGCCGCACATCAAGGACATCGAGGAGTCCATACAGGATGTGGCACTCGAGCAGAAGCGGGCCGATCGTGTGCTGGACAAGACGCGCGGCTTTGTCAAGTACAAGCGTGAGACGGCACCGTATCGCGATGCCGCCGATCGGCAGCAGGACTGGAACGAGGTCTACAACTTCCCACATGTGCGCAAGAACCTCAAGGTGCAGGCCGCTCGCTGCATGGAGTGCGGCGTGCCCTTCTGCCAGTCCAACTCCACGGGCTGTCCGCTGGGCAACATCATACCCAAGTGGAACGATCTGATCTTCCATGGCGAGTGGCAGGAGGCACTGCGCCAGCTGCTGCAAACGAACAACTTCCCCGAGTTTACGGGTCGCGTTTGTCCCGCACCCTGCGAGGGCTCCTGTGTCCTGGGCATCTCGGAGCCGGCTGTGACGATCAAGAACATCGAATGCGCCATCATTGATCATGCCTTCGAGCAGGGCTGGATCAAGGTGGAGATCCCGGAGGTGCGCACCGGCAAGCGTGTGGCCATTGTGGGCTCTGGTCCCTCGGGACTGGCTGCCTCGCAGCAGCTGAATCGCGCCGGGCACTTTGTGACCGTGTTCGAGCGCAACGATCGTGTCGGTGGGCTGCTGCAGTATGGCATACCCACCATGAAGCTGTCCAAGGAGGTGGTCAAGCGTCGCGTGGACCTCATGGCCGACGAGGGCATCGAATTCCGCACCAATGTGCATGTGGGCAAGGATCTCAAGGCCGAGCAGCTGCTGAATGAGTAAGTAAATCCGCCTCAGCCGGCTGGAACTTATAATCTTCATGGTTTCCCCTGCAGATACGATGCTGTGCTGCTGACTATGGGTTCCACTTGGCCGCGTGATCTGCCGCTGGCTAATCGTGACCTGCAGGGCATTCACTTTGCCATGGAGTTCCTCGAGGCGCAGCAGAAGAAACAGCTAGGCGGCAAGAAGGACATCATTTCGGCGGCCGGCAAGGATGTGATCATCATTGGCGGTGGCGACACTGGCTGCGATTGCATTGCCACATCGTTGCGGCAGGGCGCCAAGAGCATCACCAGCTTCGAGATACTTCCAGAGCCGCCACTGAAGCGCGCCGAGGACAATCCCTGGCCGCAGTGGCCCAAGGTCTTCCGCGTTGACTATGGCCACGAGGAGGTCAAGCTCAAGTGGGGCAAGGATCCGCGTCAGTATTGCACCACCACCAAGGAGTTTATCGGCGAGAATGGCCACATCAAGGGCGTCAATACCGTCGAGGTTGAGTGGACCAAGACGGAGACGGGACAGTGGCGCATGCAGGAGGTGGCCGGCTCTGAGAAGTACTTTGCCGCCGATCTGATACTGCTGGCCATGGGCTTCCTGGGACCCGAGAAGACAGTGGCCACGGAGCTGGGCCTCGAGCTGGATCCGCGTGGCAATATCAAGGCCACCAATGGACAGTATGGCACCTCCAATGGCAAGGTCTTTGCTGCGGGCGGTAAGTACTTCAGCCTCTCCCCCGCTGTAGAGATATTCCTCTATTTTTCATTTGCTTTTTTTATAGATTGCCGTCGTGGACAGTCGCTGGTCGTCTGGGCCATTACCGAGGGTCGCCAGGCAGCACGCCAAGTGGATTCCTATCTAACTGGTCGCATCAGTGGCCTGCCAGGACCCGGCGGCGTCATCAGAACCTCCTAAGAAGGAGCAGCAGCAGCCGCAGCAACAGCAGCAGTCAATATCAAGTTTTGTGTGCGTGCATCGTCCCTTAGCCTAGAGAGAAATTCTATATACCGATTGCAATTTGTGATTTTTATTTTCGCGATTTTAGTTTAGTTAACACTAAAAACAACAACAACAACAAAGACTTGAGTTTTTTACACACCAAAAAAAAAAAACGAACGCCGTTTACATTTAGTTTTATTTTATCTCAATTCTGGCTGGGGACAGAGTTTTGCTTTTGTTTTTACTGTTACTTGTCTCTCATTTCTTTGCTGTTCTTTCATTTCTTGTACTGAGAGAGAGAGTGATGTGCCCTCCATAGGATGATGATGCTGCGTGCGGCAGGAGTCAATTAAGCGTGCAAAAAAACTATTGATATGAATGAAAATGAATTCCAGAAATCTATATCGAATTATCCAGCAAAAAAAATCTAAAGACAATAACTAGAAATTTACCGTTAACGTTATGAAAGCAGAAAAAAATGAAAAAGTAAAAAAAAAGTGTTAGAAAATGCATTAATTTTCCATGTTGTTTCGAGTTTTGTGTTGCCTGTTTATTGAAATTGGTATGCTGATCTCCAACCTCCAACTATATAAAATATATATATAGTATACACGGACAGACAAACAAGTATTAAGCCCAATATCGTAAAGCATTTTTTGTAGATGTTGTTTGTGCGTATTTTGAACTACAACTACAACCCCCGACACGAACCTTAAACGCAGAAGTACCTAAGTGGCAGAAGTGCATGATGAAAAGTGTGTGTCCTCTTTGGCAGTTATACCACTATTTATACAACAAAATATATATTTATAACCCATATGTATACTCCCTATATATACATACATACATCTATATATGAATATATTTATGTGCAAGCATTTGATGAAATAAACATTCAAACTATTGAAAGCATTAATTTAAATTTTCTTAGTCACCTATTTCAGTGCTGCTAAACTCTTCCATGTCGGCATACAGTCACATTGAAAATATGACTTTTTTCTGTGGTATTTTATTCCTTTTAGTGTGGGTTAATTTATGATATTTACTATCGATAAGCATAACGATTCTTTTCCCAACGCTACGCAGCACTGCGGTCGCACGCGTATTTTTCTTGTAATTTGCGTGGAAATTAAATAGTGAAAATTGTTAAAAAACAATCGCAAACATGGCTAACTTTGACCTAACACGCATCAACTGTCAATATCTGGACCGGCATCTCACTTTTCCGCTGCTGGAATTCTTGTGCGGCAAGGAGGTTAGAAATTTTTTCTTTGCGGTGTTGCCGTGTCACCACCAAATGGCGAAACGTATGGAGAGGGCGTGGAATGTGCATAGCATTAATGCATTAATGTTTATTTTTGCAGATCTACAACCAGCAGGAACTGCTGGAGTACATCCTGGAGACGGTGAACAAGACGAACATGATAGATTACACGATGGACACGCGCAAGCGCCTGAACCTGAGCCAGGAGATGCCCGAGGAGCTGGTGCAGCGCAAGGCCGAGGTGCTGGCCACGCTCAAGCAGCTGCAGAACGAGGTGGCGCCCATCATGAAGGCCACCGATATTCTGAAGAACGGCGAGAGCATGAAGGACTCCAAGACCTTTGTGAATGCCCTGCAAAAGGATTACAACTTCAAGGTGGAGCATCTGGAGAGTGCCTACAAGCTGGCTAAGTACCTGTACGAGTGCGGCAACTACCAGGAGTCCACATCGTATCTGTACTTCTGTCTGATTGTCATGTCGCCCAACGACAAGGTGAGCGAATTGGGAATATATTCAGGGTGCACATTTTAACTCAATTTGTGGCCTCTTTTCCAGAATTATTTGAATGTGTTGTGGGGCAAACTGGCCGCTGAGATTTTGACCCTTAACTGGAACACTGCGCTGGAGGATTTGACGCGTCTGCGTGACTACATTGACAGTGCCAACTTCTCGACCATTCAGGCCCTGCAGCAGCGCACCTGGCTGATCCACTGGTCCGTGCTGGTCTTCTTCAACCATCCCAAGGGACGCGACCTGATCATCGAGATGTTCCTGTACAAGCCGCTGTATCTGAATGCCATTCAGACCATGTGCCCGCACATTATGCGCTATCTGGCCACCGCCGTTGTGATCAATCGAACGCGTCGCAATGCGCTCAAGGATCTGATTAAGGTCATCCAGCAGGAGTCGTACACGTATCGCGATCCCATTACCGAATTCCTCGAGTGTTTGTACGTGAACTTTGACTTTGAGGGCGCTCGCTTGAAGCTGCACGAATGCCAGACGGTCATACTCAACGATTTCTTCATTGTGGCCTGCCTGAATGAGTTCGTGGAGGATGCCCGCTTGATGATTTTCGAGACATTCTGCCGCATTCATCAGTGCATCACGATTAGCATGCTGGCCGACAAGCTGAACATGAAGCCCAACGAGGCCGAGTGCTGGATTGTCAATCTCATACGCAATGCACGTCTCAACGCCAAGATTGACTCGAAGCTGGGCCATGTGGTGATGGGCACACAGCCGCTGAGCCCCTACCAGCAGCTGGTGGAGAAGATTGACTCGCTGTCCATGCGCTCGGAGCATTTGGCCGGTCTGATTGAGCGCAAGAGCAAACAAAACAATAAGGAATCGATCGACTCATGGAAGTACTACTAGAACCACAGACCTAACCCAGCTAAGAAACACTTTTGTAGCCACACCTAAAACACAATGATCCAGCGAATAAATCAACAACCCCTTTTCCATTCGCAATTCTGAGATTTTCCTTCTCTTTGCTTTGTACTCGAAACTAATTTTATTTCCAATGGAATCTATTGAGTTTTACGACAAAAAAAAACAATACCGAGGCGGGAAATTTTCAATTGCACTAGCCTAAACACGATGAGGCGGCTGCAAACAAACTCTTGCCACAAGTTCTATAAATAATAGCTGTTGGCTGCGTTTCACACGATTAATTGCTACCGCGACTTGTGCTTGACCACCAGCCATGACCGCACAGGCAAATCCTGCAAGTAGACAATCCATTTGTGCACCACCAGCAGCCAGATGATGCCATAAACCACGCAGAAGAACGACTCCAAATAGTAGCCATCGAAGGTAATGTCACATTTGCCCTGTGACGATTCGCAGCTCTGCAAAGGTAAGGCAAAAGTTTAGACCCGAAAGCAGGGACAGAGCCAGATGAGTGTCCTACCTGTTGCTCTTCCTTGTTGAGGCAGGCGTTATCCGCGATGCTGCTGCACTGTTTGTACGTTAACACATCCACCAGCCAGAGCACCACTGTGTTGGGCCAATTGCCGCCCAGATTGCACAGCGTATTGAGGAATGTCATGTATGTGCCCCCGACAGCGGGGTCCGAGATCTTTGCAAAGAATGCCATGGCCGCCACAAACATGGAGTACAGGAACACCTGATAGCACGCATACAGCACGATGAGCAGGGCATAGTAGTACACGGGCACATGTCCCTGCTGCACCATAAATGGCGTGGCATAGGCAAACATTGTGGCCACAGCGGCCAGCAGGATTCGATAGGGAATGGCCTTCAGATACACATCCATGGGACGTGGGCCGTTGGTGTAGCGACCCATGACCAGAGGGAGAACCAGCTGCAGTGGGATGAGCGGTATAGCGAGCAGTGCCAGCTGATCCTTGGGCACACCGGCATCGATGAGCTTCAGGCTGGTCACAGCATCCGAGGCGGAGAAGGTTACCTTAACGGTGAGCAGAATGGCAGCCAGGATCTGCACGGGGCGCATCTTCACCATGTCCAGGAGGATCTTGTAGCTCTGACGAATGTTCAGCTCGTGCTCCTCGGTGTAGCGTGCCTCCGTGTGGGCATCCTCAATGTCGTTTTCCTTCTTGAAGATTGCCACCAGCGTGGTGGCCACGACAAAGACAATGCCCCAGAACCAGAGGAAATTTGGCAGCGTGATCATGCCCTCGTTGAGGGGCACATCCCGCAAGTACTTGTTGCAAAAGTCCTTCGATTCGAGGGCAATGAACACCACATAGCCGAGGAAGTAGCCGGCCGTCTGGCCGACACTGTTGCACGTCGAGGCGTAGCCCACATTGCAGCGCTTCAGCATGGTCAGGGCCCAGCCGTCCACGGCGATGTCCTGCGTGGCCGCCAGGAAGTTCAGCAGGAAGAAGAGCAGCGCCAGCAGCACCACATTCGGCTCCACACCGTCGCCGCCCAGCCAGCGATCCACGTAGTAGGAGAGGAACATCATGAAGCCGCCCAGCAGATACTGCACCGGCACCAGCCACGACTTGCGGCGCCCAAACCTGCGCACATACACCGAGTCCACGATGGGCGCCCACAGCAGCTTCAGGCTGAACGGCCAATAGGCAAAGGAGAACTCCGCCTGCTGCTTGTAGCTGGCGCCGCGGTTCTGCAGCAGCATGGGAATGGCGGCAATCAGGCCAATGGGTATGCCCTGCAGTATGTACAGGAACAGCAGTATAGCTATATTCCGTCTGTCGCCGCGTATGTCTGGCTTTTCCTCATCCTTCTCCGCCAGCGGCTCCTTCGGTTGATATTCTGTGATGAGAACGCTCTGGTCATCGCCCGCACTGCCGCCCTGCGGCCTCCGCCGTGCTGTAGACATGCTGGTACTCTGCTAGAAGGGGTACAAGTACGTCTCCAAGCTGATTTCAATCTTGATAGTGCATGCACATGTCGCCTCACCTGTTTCTAATCTTTCAGGTCCACGTCAGTGCAGTGCCGATGCTTTCTAAGTACCAAAAGAGAGCAAATATTGTGTATGTGTGTCTGTCTGTCGTACGCCTAGCTAACAAACTCTGATTAGGTCTACGCACTTAATCCACTCGATCATTTTCGGTTACGTTTAAATAACTTAAAATTTCTATTAAAGTCGTGGCATACGTTTTTTGTTGATGTTGCTTTTGGGCAGTGTGACCGAGCGTTTAGCTATTAAATACACCGCCTGGCACTTAGCTATGTACCGTAAACACACCGAGTAGAAACATATTTCCAAAATTTTATATTCGCTTTAACATTACTAGCTATTTAGCACTTTCAGCATCGAACATATAATTTTAACCAATTGATGCATCAATTTTGCACAAGTTTGGTTAGCTTTTGCAACAATCTTATATCAGTTATACAATAAGTTTTCAACACAAAATGCCAAAAAAATATAAAAAACAGTGGCAATGGAACGATACAGTGAAACGGCACGCTGCATGGTCACACTCGTCAAGTCAAATTCAAATTGTGCGCGTACAACCAAAAGTTTGTTTGGGGGCATGAAAATTGCTATTTTTAGCCGGGTATACACACTGCGATACTCCAGTTGCTTGACTTCCCATGCCCACAGATAAGGCATGCTACAACTGGGGCATGGTATACAATAAATTAACATGCAGATAAAATGTAATTTCCCCATTCCTTGAACACATTCACGGAGATTGGAAAAAAGTGCATATTTAATTCGCAGCATTTTGTTGGTACATATAATATAATAATAAATTGAATTTTCTGTTTCCGTTTGCTTGGCGAACACATTCAGATATTTCATAATAATTAAAAGTAAGTACTGATTACAGACAGGCTCCAGAACCAATTGGGTGGACACACAAACGTGGCAGCTGGCAGGCAGGCTGTGGCGATCATCGAACAACAATTTCAATTTCCAAATACGACTTTCAATATGCATTACTCGAGTTAAACTGGTTTCAGTTGTCGCTCTTCCATTTCAAGGCAACATTTGTGACTGTTTTTTTTTGTTTCGTTAGCTTAAAGTCTAATTAAGTAAATGTTCAATTGATACTTTAATGGCTGGCTGTTTGCTGTTTCGGTTCTGTTCTGGTCTCTCTGCCGGTTCATGCTTTCGTTTTCATGGTTATTGTTTGATTATTGTATTCCCCCGCTTCGTACTGTTTCCATTTCAGCTCGTGCTCCAGTCCAATTAAAGTCCATGGAAGGCTGCTAACATTTATTCTTTCACGCCTACTTGGCGGGCGAGGATCCAAAGACGGGCTCCTCCCATTTGTGGTGCACCTCGGGCGTCAAGTTGCTTATCTGCACATGCACGGCCTGATGTTTCTCGTATTTTGGTGGAATGGCGCACAGGCGATATTTGACCTCATCCCCGGGCATGGGCACATATTCACCTTCGATGCTGGGAAACGTTTGGTTTGTTAACGTTGGGCGAAGGTCGCATGCATTATTCAGCAACTTACTCGGAAACATGGCAAAAAACGTCCTCGCCACCGGCGCTGGGTATTATAAAGCCGTGTCCTTTGCTGCGGCTAAAGGACTTTACCACACCGGTCACCACTGGGTTCTCCAAGGCCCGAGCCGAGCTAAATTTGTTTTGTTTGATTGTGTGTTTTGTGCGCGCGCAAAAGCGTCGGATGGAGGGGATGAGAGTAGGAGGAGAGAGACAATTAAATCAATGCCAGAGCAAGAGGGTGAGCTGGAGATGGACTTACGTCGAGGCCGTGCGTGTGCGTCGAGTGATTATGGGACTCGGTAGCTGTAGCGAGGCATTCGGGCTGTGGCTATTATGATGATGGAACACTGGCGGCTTGGCGGAAAGCATCTTCTCGGGTGTCTTTGGCTCGGCCATGATTAAGGATTCTGTTTTGTGCTCTTTTTCTTTCGGTTAGCGGCAAGAAAGCGGCTTTCGTGTGTATGTGTATGTGTCTGTGTGCTGTGTGTGTGTCGCGGCGTCACTGCATGGACGGCAGCCAAGTCTGTTGAGTTCAAGGCCAGGGGCGCAACGGGTTAATTGCGTTGTGGTATATTTGGGCCCCACACAATGTCGCTCTTACCAATGTTTTCGTTCTGGAAAAGAGGTCGCTTGCGCTCTCTTTCTTTCCAATTAGCACCTACAAATGATTTACAACTGTAATAGGAAACTTTCTTTGGCTTTGGCGGCAGCGGCGGCGGCGGCGCTTCCTTGCACGCACCAATACTGATGCAATTATTTGCCGCGAGGCGAAATGCCGGTTTGTCCACGGCTTAAATGCTTACTTTTACTTTAAACTCGCTGCAGGATGTTCACTGTACTAGCTGCGATTGTATTTATCTCGTTTATCTGCACTTTTTGCCGTTTTTAAATGCGCTTTTTTGATTTTTTCTACAAATTGCGGCTGCGAAGGCGTCAAAAGTTAGAGTGACTGTTTCAGCGTGTGCGAAAAATACTGCACGAGGCCAACTTGCGATAATTTTTACAGCTGAAACATCGATAGAGTGACTATCGCTCATTTTCCTGCACTAGCTGTTGTCCAAAATTTTACAAAATACACAAATTTGTTCTACTTTTCGTGAATTCCTAATGAAATTGGAGATAATCAACAGTTATGAGTAGTGAACCGGAAAGTGACGACAGTTTAGGACAAGAGTCCGATACCGACGACGAACTCAACACAGATGTTGATGTAGAGTACACGGAGGAGAGTCAAGAGTCGCTGCAGCCCGTTGTACGACGCCAAAACTTTCAGAGAATTGTCACACAAGACAATGGCCATGTTTCGCCCGAAACGGCCATGTTTCACGGGTTTGACGCTAATCTGGAACCACTGGAGCCACTCGAAGAACTTCTTCCGCCAGAACTGTTAGCATTGGCAGAACTCCCAGACGAGCCTGAGGTTCAGCCAGTTGCTGCATCGGCAGATGCTGCAAACGATGTGGAAACTCTCGAGGCAGAGCTGCAGGCACTGGAGGAGCCCGAAGAACCACATCCACAGCCGCCCAGTCCGCCCACCAACTCGCACAGAGCCCCAGAACAGGGCAATGTTATAGATTTAGACACCCCATCGCCGCCAAAGAAACGCAAGCGTCTATCCGCTGCAGACACAAGCCTAAAGAAGTCGCCCGAGTCGACAAAGGCACCAGCGCCGCCGCCAGAGGACGAAGATGATGGCTTGACCTGTCCCATCTGCCTGGACTCGTGGGAGATGAGCGGAGAGCATCGTTTGGTCTCTCTGCGCTGCGGCCATTTGTTTGGCGAGGCTTGCATACGCCGCTGGCTGGGCGAAAGCCAGAAGCAGTCGTCCGTGAAGGTGTGCCCACAGTGCAAGACGAAGGCGACGTACAAGGACATTCGGCATCTGTATGCCAAGCGCATCCTCGTAGTGGACACCGAAATCAGGGATCAGCTGGAGGAGGAGCGGAGACGTAATCACATCCTAACCACAGAGCTGTCGGCCATTAAGCTGGCTCACTATGTGACTGCCGATAAGCTGCTGCAAACGACAAAGAAATATAATCAGCTGGTGTCCATGACTGAGGGCACTGGCGGTCGTGGCGCTTACTCCCTGCTGTCGGGTGCCACCAAGAAGCGTGTGCCCCTGCAGCAGCTGCCCATGCATCGGCTGTACATGGAGAAGAACTTTGAGATTACACGCGATCCCGGCTGCCGCGTGCTGCACTTCTCCGGCAGACAATCGCTGCTCATGGCCAGCCAGAAGAGTGGCCAGAGCCTGTTCCCTGGTTACGGTGTGCGCTTCATCGATCCCTTGACCTTCCAGCCGCTGCAGTTCCTCTACACCACACCCATGATGGTGCGGAACATTGCTTTCAGTGACACGAAGCAGCTGCTGGCTGTGTCCAGTCGCGAGTCCAAGATCAAGCTGTTCGATGTGCGCACCAAGCTGCAGTCGTGCATGGTCACTGCCAATGATAGGAAGCTGTGGGCATGCGCTCTGGATCGGAATGATCGTGATAATGTGCTCTATGGCGGGGATCTGCGTGGCGGTGTCTACATTTATGACGTGCGCTTTCCCGATAACATTCTCAGCCAATTCCAGGCAGATGGTGGGTACTCACACAACATTTTCCATGCCCAAACTTTCATTTTTTGTATGCCCTTTCAGAGAACTTTAGTCCTGTGATTCACATTGAGGCTGTGCCACCTAATAAGACCTTCCACAATGGCGGATTCCTCGTCTGCCAGCTGTCCGCGTTGACTTTCTACGAATTTTGCACGCCCGGCGAGGTGGCCCAGCCCACGCGACTCAATGTCGATGGACCGTTCCTCTCCATGCAGTACGATTATGTGCAGGACACGCTGCTCATTTCGGCACGCTGCAATCCGAGCTCACCCAACTCGCGCTTTGTGCTCGGCCAACTGGACAAGATCGACAACATTCCGGTGCTGCGTGTGCGGGTGACCATCTATGGTCCACCAGCCACGCCCATTATGACACGACCCACACAGCTGGGTGTCGAGGATAACACGCTGATTGTGGGCTACTTGCAGGAGAGCAAGCAACTGATGCTGCACGATGTGCGACGCGAGGAGCGTGTGCAAACGATGCCCGTCAACGAGGTGATCTATGACTTTTGTCCAGTGAGCAATAGCAATGGCTCCTATTTGGCTGCCCTGACCGATAACAAGTGTCGCGTGTACAAGCTTAACAGCACGGGTTAGAGTTAGTAGAGAGAGAGAGCGCTGGCAGATTGGTACATTTTCTGTGAAAATGTTTCCACAAGCTTCAATTTAAATTTGTTTAGTTCTTAATCATTTCTTTTGTTTATTAAAACATTTATCAGAACATCAAATCTAAATGTAATTCCATTTTACACATTTTCCTTTTGATTTTCGATTTCAATTCTTGAACTTTTTGTGTGTGTTTTGTGAGTGGAGATTGCATTTTGTATAAAATGTTTTTTGTTTGTTTCCATAAGAGATTAATATACATATAAAGCTATACAAAAAGTACGAGTATTTATTATAAATAGATATATGTGAATATCTCCCAAAAAGGTTTTTGCTGAGGCGAATGAAATGAATGTTGTTGATGCGCAGTCTCTAGCGGACAAGGAAAATGTTTACAACAGAATTCCCGCTTAAATGAACTAAAACTAAATGAGTTGGGGAAACCAGTAATGGTTTGTGGTTTTGGTTTCCCCTTTATAAAGTTGTTATCAAAAAAGAAGTTTCTACATCGTTGGTCATTTTGTTGTTGTCGCTTCTAAATATCCTTTGCTGCATATTTATGTTTCTTTTATATTACTAAGTTAGTTCTTGAGTTGAAAGACGTTTAGACTATACTTTTCAAGTATAATTTTTATATATTTTTGTTGTGTTGTGTGTGTGTGTGGTTCGTGTCGTGTAAGATTAGCGCATAAGTTTAATCGTCGTTTTATGTTTATAAGTATTATTATATGGTTAGAGATACATAAGAGATACTTAAAGAACGGCGTAACTTAAATTGTAAGACAACTAAATATACAGTAGCGATAGAGTGTGAGGGGCAGAAAGTATTCATATATAAACACTAGAGTCACTTAGAGTCTAAACTAAATGCAAAACGATTAGCTCCAAGGAGCTGAAAAGGAAGTATCAGCAGGCGTAGCTGTGTGCATTGGTCAGGGATTCATATTAGAAACGAATCCCCCTAGACACAATGCAGACAGCAACCATTTACAAAGAGTCAAAGAAAAAGTTTGGGGAGAAAGTGTTTTGGGTTTTGGTTTTATCTCTTAGTTTCCAGCTCAATCGATGCGCGCATAGCGCGGCACTATATCCTTGCTAATCCAGTAATTGCAATGCTCGTAGTCCTCCTGCGGCTGTGCATCTTGCCCCACATTGATGACCCTGCGACGCGGCTCAAACGACTGCACCGTGCCATGGGACACATAGTAGTAGAAGAGCTGCTGCATGGCCGACACATAGCGACGCTGCTCCACGGTGTGTGGCTCGTAGCGTCCCAGTATGGCCTGCACATCGGCATCCACTGTCGCCAGCTGATCCTCGCCCTCGCCCTGGGTCACCACATAGAAGGGCACACTCGGCTGGAGGCGGGCATTCGTGAGCAGCGGGCAAACGGTGCGTATGTCCGTGATGATGGACACCAGAGCGGCATAGTTGGTGGCATTGTAGCGTTCGATCACCTCATCGGTGAGGCCCAGGGCGCCAATTTGTGAATTTTGCAAGTACTCGCGCACCTCCTCCTTCGTCCAGTTGGCGTGCAGCTCCCTCAGCTTCTCGGTGTGCGCCTCATGGGCGGTGGCGCCCACAACCAGCAGCGGCTGCTCGGTGGCCAGGTCGCGCTTCCACGACTCAGAGGGATGCTGGAACAGCACATCGCCGTCCAGCACCAACCACTCGTGACGACTGCCGCTGTTGATCTCCTGCGGCTGTGGCAAATCCTGCGGGAAGTGCAGCCAAGTGTCGGGTGTGGCGGCCCACAGCTTCTCGCTGGAAGCATCGCGCAGGCACTCCACATCGCTGCAGTCCAAGGTGACCATCAGCTGCTGATTGAGCTTCTCCGACTCGGCCAGAGGTTTGCCGGGGAATATAGCCGATCCAGAGGAGGACCAGGCGCGTGTGTACAAATCCTTCAGCTTGGGGGAGCTGACCAGCGCAGAGACCAGAGTGGCGCCTGCACGATGTCCCAACAGAGTCACCGACTTGGGATCTCCTCCGAAATTAACGATATTCAATTGAATCCACTTCAGGACAGCAATAATGTCCGTCAGCGCATAGTTGCCGGAGGTTCTTGGGTGCGCCTCCTTGGTGAGCGCGTCCAAAGCGAGGAAACCAAAGATGCCCAAACGGAAATTCGGCCGCACAAAGATCACATCATGGGAGCGCGAGTAGCGAGCCGAGGGACGCAGTATGCCAGGCGATGGACCCGCCAGCGACTCGGCGCCAATGAGCACCACCACGGGCAGTGGGTTCGTGTAGCGCACGTGGGGCGTCACGACATCCAGGAAGAGGCAATCCTCATCGCCGACAGTGGTGCCATTGCCCAAGCGCTGAGTGCACACGACGCTGCTGTTGTGCGTCTGCAGCGTATCATTCCAGCAGCCATCGATGCTGTCAATCAGCTGTGCCGGGCGCCAGCGTAGCTCATCGACGGGTGCCTTGGCATACGGAATGCCACGGAAGGCAAAGGCGCCATCCTCCTTGACACCCTCCACGGGTCCGCAGCCGGTGACCGCCAGAATGTAGCGACCTTCGCGCAGCGGCGGCGAGGTCAGAGTCTCATGCGTCAGCACATAGCCAATCACTGCCAGGAGCAGCACAAAGAGCAGTATCCCGAAGGCAATCAAAGCATCATCCACGCTGCACTTGTAGCCACGAAGGCGCTGCAGCAGCGACACTGGACGATCGCGTTCATCCTCTTCGGCTGCCAGCTTCTGTTCGGCGGCGAGTTTCTCGTCCTTCAGTTCACTTTTGATGTCATCCGTGCCATTGGCATTCTTCACAGGCGCACGATCCACCGTGTCCTGATCCTTGAGTGAATCATCCAGAGTTTCCATGGATGCGAGTCCCGCCTTGCCGCCCAAGCCCATCTCCACATCGTCGCCGTTCTTGCGCTGCTTGGGGATCATATTTGCAATGGGCAGTTTGATGGCATTCAAGAGTCCGCGCTTTGGTGGTGGATCCACGGCAGCTTCCTCCACAGCGGCAGCCTCAGCAGTGGCTTCTAAAGAAAGGAAATTTAATGTAATTTCGGGGAATATAATTGGCATTTTCTATGACATACCCGACTTGGCATCCGCATCACCATTTACGAGCGCTTTCTTCTCCTTTTCGGCGCTGGGTTTGCGCACAAAGAAGCTGCGCAAACGCTGTCCCAGGCCAGGACGCGGCTTGGCCTCTGCTCCCGCTGCTGCTGCGGCATCTCCATTGAGAGCAGCCGCCTCTTTGTCCTTGTCTTCGGCATCCTTCTCGAGCAGCTCTCCCTCGGCACCATCGCCCTCTGCCTTGGGTTTGTTCTTCATAAAGAAACCTGGCAGCTTCAGGCCACCAATCGGTATCTTCTTGGGCTTCACTTCGCGCTCTTCCTTGCTGATTTTTTTCTCCTCAGCCACACCGCTGCCCTCCACCGGCTGTGGCTTCTCCTTCTCCTCGGGTATGTCTATGATCTCATGGCCCTTCTCTTCAGTCGCTTTTTCACCCACTGGGGACTTCTTGCCCGCATTGGGTGTGGCTGGCTTCGATGACTGCGGACTGGGCGTCTTTTCAGTCTTCTTGGTGGTGTCCAGCATCTTGTCCGTCTCCTTGGGCTCCTCCAGCGTCTCCTGCTGCGCGGTCGTTGTCTCCGTTGGCGGCGTTTCCTTCTCCTCAAGTTCCCCCATTATTTTTTTGGTCGCTCAAATTTCGTTTTTAGAGAACTCTGCAAGAATTCTGCAAGCAAGGGAAAGTCAGGAAAATCTTGAGTGGAGTTCGTAGAGTATTTCCCCGTGGCCTGCACCAACCTTTGACTTAGTTTTTCTGCCACTAACTAGGTTAAACTTTGGTTCTACAGCTGCTTTGTAGTTTCTACGTTTCGTTTATTTTCTCTATTTTTTGTTAGGATCTACGATCTAGGATCTATCACGATCGCTGGCTGAAATGCTTCTAGCTGCCGCTGCCGGCTGCCAGCGCACTTTATACCCACCCCGACCCGTCGTGATCCTCTCTGCATTTTTCCTTTTCCATAATTTTCTCTACCTGGGCAGCGCACGTACCTTCTTCTCGTTCGCTCTACTCAGGTAGAATCCATGGAAAATTGCTCAAATTTCCATTGCAACATTCCCGACAGCTGCGCTCAGCTGCGACAGCAAGACGTTCATTTTGGTTTGCTGATCCCTGATCCCTGTCCCATGTCCTAGATCCTAGATCCTTTTCCATCTTTCTGCGCTTTGGTACGTGCTGCCCCGTTCACACGTTGCACGTTTCACGTTCTACGAAAATGTTCTTTTAATTAGCGAAAACCTATAAAATCAACGTCGCAGCGCAGCAAGGACATTTTGGTCATTAGAAAAGGTAACGCCGCAGCGGGATCGAAGGATTAGCGACTGTTCTTCGGTAGCAAAATCACGTCTGCAGCTCACAAATAGCCAAAAGTCAGGGAACTTCTTTATCAAGATAAAAAGAGACCGAAAACGTTTAAAATGTGACTCTAGGTTGACTTTTTTTAAACGATTTTATCGTTATAATTGCATTAGACTGTAGACATGGCTAACTATGAGATCATTAGGCAGGCAGGAAAGCCTTAAAGAGCAAAGGAAAATGGCAACTTAAGAGGGAAATATGCAGTCCATGAATAGAGAAATCTTTGCTGGTTCACGTATTTTGATATGATATTTGATCAAGAAATCACTTTAAAACTTCATTCCCAGTAAACCTCAGCAATCAGTGTTCCAGTTTACCCTTCAAAAGTTACCAAAACCCACATAAAACATTGATCAATGATCATCTAGAATTGCCTTCAATCCAATAGCTCATTAGGAGCTTATCAATCAAGAGTTTGTTCACCGTTTTCTCTGCCATCAATGGATTTCATTGAATTTCCTAGAATCCCTACCATACGCCCTCCCCCATTGACCCACTAAACTATAATCTTCACGCACTCACGCTTGGGGCATCTCTAGCTCAGACTTTTTACAGCGCCCCAACACTCATTATTTCCCCGTTTTCCACACAAGCAACACAAAAGATATGGAAAATGTGGAGGAAAAAACGATGCCAGGTCGAGACCTTTGCTGGCTCTGGCTGTCATGTAAATCAACCGAAATTCCATTAAAATTTGAACTTAAAGTTCAAAACGCATTGCGTGTCATAATCTGTTGCTATATTATCACCATCTACTTTACGTTTTCTTCTGCCTTTTCCCGCTCTTTCTCGTTCTCTGCGGAAAAGTGTGTGTTTAAAGTGGAGGGAAAATCGAAACCAAACCCCGAGGCATTGCGTATCGAAAGTGAAAAGAGTGTCACATGTGCGAGAGAAACACACAGAAATCCAATTGAATCGGATTTCAAAGCATTAACGACAATGGAAAGGCTGGGTATGGGGAGCTGGCGGGGCAGAGCAGATAAGTGTTGTCTGGTTCTACGATTCTCTAATTCTCTGGCCCGAAGTGCAGACACAAGTCATGGGGCCACAAGTCTACATAAGCCTCTCCCTTCCTTCTGCGTATGCTTCTGCTTCTCCTTCTGCAAAAATGCAGGTCAAAGTAATTACAGAATACTCGCTGGAAAATGGAGTAGCTGCAAATATCAACTGGAAGCAACTGGAACAGTGCGTTTCAGCAGCAGCAATACCATAAAATATGTTTACTTATGCAGGATCTTTAGAAGTTATGTATCCCTTCGCTTATGGGAAATTTCAACAGCAAAGCAACAGCCCTGCCAAATGGAATCAATGCTCCTAGTTTTCAGAGAACATTTCGTTGTTTTGGAGTGCTTTCTTATACATTTGAAACGCACTGTCATCACTCAGAGTATGATCCCAGCCTCTTTTGTCACTTTAACAATTGCCAAAGGAATTTATTAATAAACTAGAGTTTCTTTCTTTCTTTTTCTATAAAGCCAGAGCTTAAAGTGCAAAATATTTAGAGATAGATTTTTGTTAATTAGCTGAGAATGGAACGATCTTTTGTGGCTGAGAATTGTTTGCGGCGGTGTCCAAGCAAAACAACAAATGGACGCGCCCAAAAAGACAATAAAAAGCGGCGAAAAGCGGTACAAAAGAAAAGTGTTCCCTGTTGACACGCACTCCCCCATAGCCCTCACCCTCTCCCTGTCTCTCTTTCCATGTGGCATATGTGACCGACAAGCGACGCAAAGTTTGGCTGTCTGGTGGCTGTGGCTGTAATTTGTCTTGGCTCGTAAATTAAATCAAATTCGAAACTTGCGTTTGACATGCAATTTCCTTCCCCTCTTTTGACTTCCTTCTCCATGTCCTAAACTCTACTCCACCCTCTTTTTCCCACTCTCTATAACTCTCTTCTCCCCACAGTTTTCCAAAATTTAATTTCATTTTTTTTTTGTGTGTGTGGGAAATTGCCGTAAAACATAAAAAGTTGACCACAAAATGTGGCAAGGGATACGCTTAAAGAGCATTTACAGTGGGCCACAATATAACAAAAGTAAATTAAATATTTCGAATCTCTTTTTTGTAGCACTTATATTCTCGTTTTGTGCCACTGTGCCCATGTCCAACGATAATCCCCTCTTGTTGCCGCCCCCCAAAGCGCCGTGTAAGCTCATGTATACAGATCCCCGTAGCTTAGGCGCACCAAATACATAAATTCTAGTAGAATATCTCGCCCATATCAGACATGTCAGGAACCACTTTGAAATGCATAAAAATGCAATTGCTTTTGGCCATTTATTCTATTGTTTCACAAAAAGAGAGGGGGGAGAAGGCGGAGTGTTCCGGCCGATAAGCCCCCCCCCCAACGGTGAGTGAGAAAGCGACAACTGCTACACAAGTTTTCAGTGCTAACTGTCATTCAAGACACACAACCTGTGTGTGTGTATCACCCCTCTCCCACTCACCCACACCTAATGGCAGCGAAGCATGAAACGAAAAGGTGTGGGGAGGAGGTAGGAATTGAAAATAGGAGCAGACAAACCAAACGAGTGGGAGAGACGACCCAACAGACCTGCGTCCTGCTATTATTATTTATTACTGTTCTTGTTTTCGCTCCTGCTGTCACTTTACTCTTTCTATTCGATCAATCCTACTTCTACTTTTCCCCCACCGCACTCACCTATCCTTCTCACACTCCCACTCAGCACAGTCCTCATGCCACTCATGAGTCGCTCCCACTCACACTCCCACACGCTCTCTCTCTCTCACCTTTCTCTGCTTATTTTGACTTGCGACCAAACCACCAGATGGCGCTTGCCGCCCTCGTCTGTGCGTGTGAGCCGGCATTAAAGGTGTCGCAGGGAGAGATGGAGAGTGAGGAAGATAGCTGTACTGATTGATAGGTGAGTGCTAGCAGGACGGAGGCACAATAAAAAACACTCACTTTTACACTATTATTATTATGCACATGTGCGTGTGTGGGTGCTTTTTATGCTCAATTAAACAGGATATTGGTACAACTGCAGGACACACTCGGCGCGTCTGAGCCCACGACATTTAGATTCAATGATAACGAACAAGCCAACAAACATTCATTTATAATTACAGACAAACGAGGAAATTTGTCTAGACAGCGGCTACCGCCACTGCCACCGTCACCGCCACCGCAACAATAATAACAGCAATCAACGGAAATGCAATTTCCAGGCTCCTACTCAGAAGGCTCCTGCTCCTACGCGACAGCAGCCCCACCATGCCGTTCCCAAGTACTGCTGCTCCTGCAATCAACCCTGCAGATTCAATATCCTCGGGCTACAACATAATTTTTCAATTTGCTCCTCAAATATCCCTCCAGCAGAGTGACTCCCTAACGAAGTCAATTTGTCAGCCAGACATCATACAAAAGAGAGGGAGAGACAGAGAGAGAGATGGCCTATGCTAATGGACTTTTGCAGTGTGCACTTTTTGAAAGGTGGAGGAGGCTTAGCCAGAAAGCTCTTCTACAAACTGTAATGTTACAACTGAATGAATTTATGTATGCCCTTAGGGTCCACCTCTTCAAATTAACTTGAAAATATTTTGATCTAACAATTTATTATGGTTATTTTTTTCAAGTTTGTTAATTTCATGGCAATTTATAGAGGGGGAGAACGTAATTCCAATCAAAAGTGGGATGATTAATGATGAACCCGGACACGTGTGCCAAGGGGGAAGGGGTGCCAAGTTCACTCGAGCATAAGATATGATGAGAAGCACAGAAACCAAAAACCGCAAAACCCCAAAAGGCTTGCTGTGCACGTGCTCTCCTCTCCTCACTCTTTTCTTCCCTTTTGATAGATGATAATCTCCAGAGAGGCCACAGTGCAGGTAGAGAGCGGAAATTGGTAAACGAGTAAACACTAGCGTGTTCCGCACACACTCACAATAAAGGATCTCTCCCCTCCGGAAGGCGCCAGTGCACTCTCTTGTGGTGTGTGGTGTTGGTTTCTAAGAGAAGGGGGGGAAGAACAAACAAGAATAGTGACGAAGAGGGGTAATACCACTTCAAAAAAGGGAATTTTTATGAATTTGTTATTACACTCGAGAGAGTACAGCAACAGAGGGAGAGAGAGAACAACCTTGAAATGCGTTCATCTCAGTTTACTGATACCTCCGTTATCGTAGAGTGCAGAGGTATGCCTTACTCATGAAGATTTTCAGCGTTACGATATATGAAAACCGTATTAAAGGGTAACCTTTAGTCGACTATCGCATTCTATGCTTTTTTGTCCTTTATTTTCTGTCATTCCTATTTTATTGCGCAGTTCCCTCTGCGACAAGAAGGAGGGAGCGAGATAAGCAAAGATTTCTAGCAAGATAAAAATGCCTGAAATTCTTCTAGAAGGCAATTGAAATTGTCAACAAATTATTTATGAGTCTCCTTCTCCTATTCTACCGTCCCTCCATTCGCAGTCTAGAGTTCCTCATGTAATCCTCTCATTAGTCAATTGTCAGCAGGATATTCTCTTTTAAACCCAAGATTGCTGATGGATTTATAGTGTAAAAAGTTGTGGAAATTCTCAAGCGGTTGACCATGAACCCCAAAACTGTTGTTGTTTATCTTTGGAAAAGGCCGGGGTGTAGGGAAAAAAGTGTTGAAAATGTTGTTTGGATTGTCTTCAATTTTCTCCATTTCCTTTGCTATCTTTTTCCCTTAATTGTTGTTTACTTTTCGAGTGAAAGCCGTCAACACACACGCCCCAACGCCCTACAACTCCGCCCATTACATAAGAAAATACTTCCAATTGAAATGTAAAGCAAACGAAAATGAGAAACTGTGGCGCACTCATCATCATCATGCCCCATGCTCCATTCCCTGTCGGCTTTTGTCTTTTGAAAACTTGGCAAAACAATGAAGGAAGTTGGAAGTTGCGGGGGGAGTTGTTCCCTCAATAAATCTCTTTTCGAATGCAAATGTTGCGTCAGCTTGGAAATCTTCACTTCTCTTAATTTCCCTCCCCAGCAGCTGTCTCTACTTTTTGATATTTCCTTGGGTTTTCTTTGGTTTTGTTGATGTTTTCTTGAAAGATTCCCCCCGGAAGTCGTTGCCTGAGGGCAGGCCCCCTTTTTTTTTAGAGCAGCAGCTGCCGAAACCAACTTTCTATTGGGGGATCATTTGTGATCTTTTCCTCTCATTAATTGCCATCACCTATTCATTAATTATTGAATTATAGTTTTTTTATCCCACAATTTCATTAATTTCCTTTTCATTTGTTTATGGAATTATCTCTATTTTCGGAGAGTTATTCTCCCAAGTCGCTCTATTTTTTATATCCGTCCCACAACTTGATGAATGAAAAATGCCTCTCTGAATGGCATTTGGGGATTAGCAGACCCATTATTGTTTATGAAAATGTTCCAAAGGATTTGTCAAGCCTTTGATTTATGTCAAATGTTAATGTTAATGTTTTTGCTCCAAAGAAAAGGATGGTGATGGAGTGAGTTGCAGATGGAGTTGAATCTTCTGTAAAATCATTTGACACGAGCCATTAGACCCCAAGAGCCACCGAGACAATGAAGACGATGATGATGATGGGTGTGCGTATGTTCTGGGGGAATTATATTCCATGGCATCATGGAGAGGCGCCATTAATCTTATTAAGAGCTCAGAATCGAAGCAGAGTAAGAAATCTTGTAGCAAGAGAAATAATGATTGCTTGGAATTATTTTGGTTAATGTTTTCGAGAGGCAATTAATGGATTGTGGGGGATTAGAAGTTGAGCTTTGATGACTAAAGGATTATTAAAGTCAATTTTTAGAAGCTTTTCCCTTTGGGTAACAGAAATTTTATAACTTCGAAAGGAATATTGTTTGTAAACAGATTGCTGGAACATTTGGTTATGACCAATATTTCCCTCTCCTCACAAAAAACTGTCCTTACAAGAATGTTCTCTCAAAAGTTTCCATATGTTGGAGGGGGTCTTTTCTTCAAATCTAGCATTTTCCACATATTTTTTTGCACTTCACATTTCCCTTTCTTTCCCATTCCTTTTTTCTTGTGTTCCCCTACTTTTACATTCCTTTTGATCTTCCCTTGTCTCTTTTACTCCTACCCACCACAAATTTTTACCGCAATTGTTTGGTTCTTACTTGTTTCTCAATTCCCGCAAATGGATAATTTTTCAGTTCTTGTTGTTGTTGCTGCCGGCACTTCGGCTGCTTGTTGAGGAATAATCCGAATGTGGTCGATCCGAGTAAAATGTATACGAAGTCCTTCCTGCAGGATGCTTTAAGGTGTGTATAACTGGCGTACACAGATTTTGTTGTATATTTATTGTAGTTGTTATCTCTTTCTTTTGATTTCTTTTTGCACTTGAATTTTCGTTTGTTTGATTTTCACTTGGCGTAGTAAAATGCACTTTTTATTTGGACGAACTGCAGACAATAGGAATGGAAAAAAAGTGTTTCCCTTTTTTGATTTCTGCTTTTGATTTGTTGTGTGTGTTTTTCGTTTGATTTGATTTGTCTGTTTCTGATTTTTGTTTTTGTCGCGATTGTCTCTTTCTCCCTCTCTTTCAAAAGGAGCAAAGAATCGGAGGAAGACCGACGACAGAGGCAGAAAAAAAGAGCGTGCGAGCGGTCGCGATTCAAACGGTAAAGTAAACGGAAAAGTAAAGCAGCGCTCTTTTGGTGTTTGGTGTTTCGCGACGTCTGATGTTGCTCGATTCGAATGTTGCCAGCGTCGGCAGGGTGTGTTTGCACAACGATGTGGTGTTCGGCAACACGTAGCATACAACGGCATGCTGCGAAGTCATACCCTGTTGTCCAAGCACACCCTGTGTGCAACATTCTGGCAACATTTTCTACCAGAGCAACACCGCAGAGAGAGAGCAAACATTTCTTGCACTCTCTCTCTCTCGTACTTTCTGATTGTCACTCTCTCTGGCTGGAAGGTTTGCATGCATGCAAGCAGCATAGCCAGCCGGCACACAGTCGCGGTCAAAATAATAGATGAGCAAATTGTTGTTGCAGTAATTTTGCAATAACTTAATGAGGAATCTATCCCTTATTTCAACATTATATAAAATGATAAAAACTTATTCATGAGACACAAAAAAAATGATTAATTCTAAGAATTATTGATTAATCCTACTATTGTGGTCAGAGCTGTTCTCATGCTTGGCTCTGGAAACCCTTGAGGGTTGATTGTCGCTTCATTTTGTGCAGCTGGAAAGCAGCAGGCGCTCGCTCTCTCTCTCTCTTTTCTGATTGTGCATGCGAGAGAGCGGGCTATGTTTTGTTGTACAGTACATGCAAAATAGCGTCTCTCTATTGCGTTGATGTTGTTTTGTTTTTGTGTGCTTGGAACCGCTCAAAAGGGAATAAGGAGAGACGGGAGTGGGGGGAAGAGAAAACCGGCTGCGGGTAAGGACAGCGATTGTACAGGGTATGGCTACTGGGGTGTAAGCGGCAGGACGTCTAAAATGGCAAGTGCTAAAGGATTTGAAGCGCAGTATTTTCGGTTTCTTTTGTGGAAACATCTGTCAGATCGCCGAAATTCCAGGCGCTGATGCGTCATTACTCTAAAACGCAACCCTTTTTCGCGAGTAGAGGGGCAGCGGGGTGTTAGGGTTCACTACCCCTGAGAAAAACAACTTTTAGAAAACAAGACTATGATGATTTTTCACGTCAACTTAGAGAGAATGGAAATTTTGATGCGTAACAAAAAGGATTTACTACAGATGTTCTATGAAGGGTTCCGAAAAATACCATCTTCAAACAGTTGTAAAATCAAAACTAAAGATAGCAGAAACGTAAGCTATATTTTAAATGCCAGAACACATTTAGATCTTTCTTTACACTAATTTTCACAGCGATCTGTGGCAGCCAAGCGTCACTCGTATCATAAAATGATTAGACCAATGAGCCCCATGACGACACGTGCTGGGAATGGATTAATAGTTCCTCTGCCACTTCCTCCTCTCTTCTTTCCCCCCTGTCAGCGTGTACCCACATGTCAACAACTTTCACGCCTACTAAATATGTGGGTTCCCTACTCGAAACGTTTGGAACTACTGAACCATTTCATTAGATATTATGTTAGAGGCGACATCTGCTACCGAACAAATGCAGGAAATAAACGAGCGATAGAGTTACGTTAGTATGTAGGTTGCCCTGCCTTGAAGTATGCCTGTCACGTAGGATCACAGAGGATCGTCATGGAGGAAGCCCACAAAATGTGAGCGCGGAACACATGTTCCTTTTTTTCCTGCGTCTTTTCTGGTTTCATGTGTGTGGGTTGCGGCATAATAATTAACAAGTTCTTTCCCTCTTTCTTGTTTTAATTTAAATTTGGATCATCATTTGGCGTGGGCCCTGGCGCACAGGAAGCGAAATGGAAACCAAAAACCAAACCTTTATGAAGCTGAGAGGGCGACACGTGATGTGTAATTCAATCAAGCAATGATTCAGTTTCAATATGTGCGGCCACTCGAAGTAAACCCCCGAAAAAGCCAGCACAAAAGCCGCTTAATGTTTGAGCTCAATTATATGGCTTTTCCTTAAGGGGTGGGCGACGGCCACTCCCAGTCCCCATTATGTTTCGTTCCCCCCATAAACGCCTCAAAGTCGACTACTACAAATGGTCGGAACATGAAAGTTAAGCTTCCTTTTTGTTCCAGTGCAAATTTCTGTTTTCGGACATAAAGCCCCAGAACCTTTACTACTTTTGGGCGAAAAAAAAAACTACCCACAGTTCGTGCAACATCACTTTCTGTGGTTGCAACCACAAAAGTTACTGTTTTATTTACTCAAACGACAGCAAAGCAGCAAAAAAGTGAGGAAAGGGCGAGGCCAGGTCTATGGTCTGAGCTCTGTACATGTTGCCAACAACAGGGAAGCAAGTGCTGTAGGTGGGTTTTGTGGCGCCCCTTAATGGAACACCCACACACGCCTGGCATGAAACGCTTTTAAGTGTTCTGCGGGATCTGGAGGTTAAACACCTTAAAGGAGAGACTCCTGGCTGGCTGTCTTGTGTTTGAAGGAGTGGAGTTTGGGCAGAGCCAGAGAGGTCTCCTTTGCAACACTCCTTGCGGAAAGACGACACAAAAGTTTAGATGAGCCTCCAAGCAAGTCGTGGGATTGATTTCTTGTGAGAGATCTTTCCAGTCTTACGCCTAAGCCGAGGCATTACAGAACTCTCCAAGGGTCAAATGTTGTCGGCTGGCAATCAAAACACAGCTCATTGAATGCCCAGAAGTTGCTGTGACAAACTCACAAGAGGGAGAGTGCATAAAAGATCATTGAATGAAAATGAATCTGAAAAGATGCAACAAAAAGAGATGCAGAGGGTGCTGCTGGTAGTCAAGTGAGTGGAAATAATCATCCCAGACAATAGAACGAAAAACAGGGGGAGCTGGAGTATATCTCTTTGAATGGCTGCCACATCCACATCCACAGCTGCAGCTACAGCTACAGCTACAGCTTCTTGCTGCATTTTGTGGCATTCAAAGTGCGAACTCAATTGCGGCAAAATGAATGTGGAGGCTGCTTTCGGAGCTAAAGTTCAAGTCGTTGCACTTTTGCCTCAAAAGTGTTGCACTCTCCCTCTCCAATGATTCAATGTTTGCTGAAGCCGCAGCGCCACAACAGTGTGACTCTGAATTGGCATTCAAATTGTAATGCAAATATCACCCCAAGCGATGATCCACTGTGCTGCGATTCTGACATTGAAAGAGGCAACCAGCAACCAGCAACCAGAAACCAGCAGCAGCAGCTGCCCCTCAATAAAGAGCACAGAACTCAGTTCATGCCTCGTCGTGTGGGCCCCTTGTTGCCCAGGTTTTTTGGGGCAGGGGCTCCCCCTGTCTATTAATATCCGACTTCCTACAATTGGGTGAATGCTGCACATAAATTGCATCTCAAAGGAAAAAGACGAACGACTTTAATGCGTCATAATTGAGGCACAATACAGGGGCATGGAGCAAGCATTGGATGTGGTTTTGGTGGCATGATTTGATTAACCAAGAATGTCACTCAAGCAACAGGCACACACACTGCCAAGCGTGCAAGCTTTGACTTACTGCCAAATTATTGATTTTCAGTGTACAATAAATGTATCTTACGGCTTGTGTGTGTGTGTGTGTGTTTTTTTCAAGGAAGCCCTTCAATGTTCTTTTTGCTTTATTTTTCCACAATTATCCGCTTAAAAGTCAGCCGCTCAAAGCGGGCCAAAGCAACAATGGACAAAGTATCTTTGAGTTGCAGCAGTTGCAGGCTTTTAAAGTATCTTTAAGTAGCACAATTAATGCAGCAAAGAGGCGAAATAGTCCAGCAAACAAGGAACTTTTGAAAGCAAAACTAACTTTAAGATGCACTTTTGCTCTTAAAATATCTTTGAGATGTGCCATAAAAGTTTCTATCCAATTAATTGGGCGGCTGTCGACAAACAATCGAAAATAAATTTTCAATTAAACGCCCATCAACGTGCCGACAGCTAGCTGCAATTGTCTTATCACACACAGATACACACAGCTACAAATACAAAAGATGCAGTTGCAAGCCTCTAATGAAGATGATGCGGCGGATCGCATTTTGTTGGCTGCACGGAGCACTGAGACGAAATCAAGACAAAAGCCCAACAGCTGGACAAATGACCAGCGGAGATACATCAAGTAACTGACGGACAGCTGCTGCTGCGGATACCAATAAAGAGAGGAGCGGCACAAAGTAGATGCATAGGAGGGAGACCTGCTGGCGCGTGCCATTGAACTTTGTGGTCAAACGAAAAGTAACAGAAATGAGATACTTGATTGCGTCTGAAGCAACCCAAAGATACTTGTGCAATGCCGCATGAATAATTGAACTTTTGCCAATGAAATACGAGAGTGAACAGACCATTAAATACGTTTGCCAGACAGATACTTGGGCAACCCAAGATTGGAAATCCTTTTGTAGAAAAAAATCAATTAACAGCTTCCAAAAAGATAACCAAATGTTTTTTTTTATAGCATTGATTAATTTTGGCAATTGTTTTTTTTTTTATGGAGTCACAGATAACCAGATACTTTTGCAGCCAGTTGATTACATTATGAAGAAAAATCCACTTTTTGACACTCAATAAATAATTTTCATTTTGCAGCCCACTGCTTTTTGCATCAAAATCAAACTGCAGCTTAAACCCCAGCCAGAAAACCAATTTCCAATTTGACAGCTACGTTTTTGCATCTTGCAGATACGTTTTGTCATAAGAGCGAGAAAATCAATTCTTTGAATGCGACACCCGAACGAGGCGACAGCTGTCGCTGGGCAGGAAATTGATCTGCCTGGCAGCCGCAGTAAAAAAAACTTTGAAAGTATCTTATGGATGCATCTGCCTAGTTGCTGATTGCAGAAAAATCCACAGCCAAGTCGTGACACAGATGGATATTGGGCTCCACATTCATATTTCCGAGATAGATTTCAAAGGGATTAAGACAGACTCCTGCCCCCTGTGTGTCTCTCTGCCGCTTGCTTTGTGGATTGTCTCTTGGTTGGTGGTCTCCGCTGATCCTCTCATTCTTTAATTAAAGTTCTCCTTTTTATTTTCTGCGCTGCGTGGGTGACTCGGACTCTGACTCTCTGGTTGCCCCACCATTCAGCTTCCATTTATTCGTTTTTTTTGTTGCTTTCATT